GCAAGTTTTGAAAATCAAATACCGCAACCGCAACCGCAAACGCGGTTCGGTTTACCGCGATTGAGGTTTCATTGCGGTAAATTGTCGGTTGGTTTTTGTAATTTTTCGGTTTATCTGTATTTTGGTACTAATAATATAGAGGAGAATGCCCATTTAAGGGGCCTCCAAAATGTAGGACTGCCACTGTTAATATTACATGGCTAGTGTGCATATACTATTTACTAGGTACAAATTATGACACGTCTATATAATACATCATGCATGCCTTGTTAAACTTGTGTAATGCTCTTATTGTAATTCTCTGAAAAAAAAAAAAAAAAAAAAGAGAAAAAAAGAAGCAGAAGGAGACTGAGCCATGTTTGTAGGAAACTTTAATATTGTTGTTTTTGTTGTATGGCTACTAGGAGGCAACAAAAGTGGTATGTGAATTGGCTATTTCTAGCCTTTCCTTTTGGTAGCTAAGTTAACCACTAAATGGGCAATTAAGCTTGTAATGAATATTTTGTAGAGAGAGTTTATGTCATTGTGAATCAATTGAAAAAAAAAAAGAGAAATAAGTCTGTGGACTTCTCTCTCTGAAGCTAGACCTCTGAGTTCCAATTCCAAAATTCTCTCTCTTATCCTTGCATAATCTCTTGAGTGATTTGCCACTAGGATTACCAAAAAATTCCAACATGGTATCAGAGCTTAGTCTGATCAACTAAGCTGGGAGTATTTTTTGTGTTCTTCAATTTGGGATTTCTTTCTTTGAAACCCTCTAACTTTCAAACTCAAAAAATTCTGATGGCAAGTAGCAGCAACAATGATAGGAATTTTCATCTCCGATATTTGATGGTGAAAACTATGACTGTTGGAGAGTGAAGATGAGGACCCTATTCACCTCTTATGGGTTGTGAAAATTTGTTGATATTGGGGTTGTTGAACCTAAGGAGGAAGTAGAGCTCACTGTAGCAGAGAGAGCATTGGTGGAAGAAAATCTCACACTACTACAAAAAATGCCAAAGACGACGGGAATTCACCGTCGTGTATTCGGTTTTCAAACCGTCGTGAAATCGACTGCCGTCTATTTGGGTTTAAAATTACGACGGCTTTTCATCGTCGTTGTTTATCTGTAAAGACGACGGTTTTTAAAGAAAATCGTCGTTGTTTAGAAGTAAAGATCGTTAATTATAGGAGGAAAGACGACTGTTTTTAATAAAACCGTCGTGTATTGCACGTAAAGATGACCATTTTTTTATGAAAACCGTCGTGGATTGTTTATAAAGACATCATCTTTACATACAATAGACGACCTTTTTCTATAAAAAGCGTCATCTTTACGTACAATAGACGACTCTTTTTTATAAAAGTGTCATCTTTACGTACAATAGACGACGGTTTTTTTTATAAAAAGCGTCATCTTTACGTACAATAAACGACGGTTTTTTTATAAAAGTGTCATCTTTACGTATAATAGACGACCTTTTTTATAAAAAGCGTCATCTTTACATACAATAGACGACGGTTTTTTTTATAAAAAGTGTCATCTTTAAGTACAATAGACTACGGTTTTTTTATAAAAAAATCATCTTTACGTATAATAGACGACGGTTTTTTTTATAAAAAGTGTCATCTTTACGTACAATAGACGACGGTTTTAATAAAAAAAACGTCATCTTTAGGTACAATAGAAGACGGTTTTTATAAAAAATCGTCATCTTTACATACAATAGACGACGGTTTTTATAAAAAGCGTCATCTTTACATACAATAGACGACGGTTTTTATAAAAAAGCGTCATCTTTACGTACAATAATGCTTTTTGATTCCCTATGATGCTGTGCAACGATTTTAACTAGAAAACCAACCATAATGCTTTATCAAAAATAGTTTCTTTCATAAAACTTGAAGATTCAATAGTTATTACATAGTTAACCAATCTTTATTCTACAACAAACATAATTCCTAACAAGACCTACGTACTCCTAATCCAAGCATTCCTCATCCAAACATACAAATGATGCACAACTGAAGTCTTTTCCATCATCCCTGTAAATAAATCAAAATGACAAAGGGAGAAAAAAAGAAGAAGCTAAGATTATAAACATAAAAAATTAGGTGGAAGAGAAATTTTACCATTGGTCCATATTTCTATAGAAAACTTGAAAAATGAGCATAAAAAAGACCATCAAGAACCTGGAAATTTTCAACAACAAAAAAACATACGACTCACATAGAAAACCTGCAAAAGAAAAAGTTATAAATCTGCAAGCTTCTTCCTCATCTCCTGATAACCAAATCAGAAAATCTAAAAATAAACCAGAAATTAAAAAAAAAAATGTAAACAAATCAGACAAATCAAGAGAGACAAAATTTGAAATTAGGGAGACAAAAAACATACCAAAAATGCAAAGAGACTAATCCAGAATTCACTAGCAAGATATAGAAGGGTATTAAGAGATTAGGTGACTTTCAAATCAAACATTTCAACCAGCTTTGATTCTCAAATACAGAACATCCCTCTACATCTTATGGATTTGCTAAGACCTCAATCTCTCAACTCATTTATTGATATCGATTTTTTGATGATTTTGTAGAGAGTTTCATGAGGATGTTTTAGAGAGTGCAGGAGGGTTTCAAGGAGGGAGAGATAAGGTTTTCAGAGACGGGGGAAAATCTGAAAATTTGTTGAGCGCGAATTCGCTTAAGTAGACTTTTTTTAGCGTGTTGTAAAAGACGACGCTTATTAATGAGAGATAAGATTTTCAAAGACGGGTGAAAATTTAAAAATTTGTCGAGCGCGAATTCACTTAAGCGACCATTTTTTAGCGTGTTTTAAAATACGACACTTTTTTAAAAAAGATCGTCATCTTTACTTCATAATAGACGACCTTTTTTTTAAAACAACCGTCATCTTTAGTATAATAGATGACTTTTTATATAAAAAAAACCGTCATTTTTACTTCATAATAGAAGACCATTTTTTAAAATTTTTTATAAAAGCGTCATCTTTACATACAATAGACGACGATTTTATAATTTTTTTTATTGCATACGCATTTTAAGAAACTAGTTTCAACGATCCAACCGTCAAAATTGTTTGTTTATACTTTGAGATCATATACGCCAAAAATCGAAGAAAAATAAACATTCAGAGATCAAGTAACGGGACAAAAAATTTCGAAGGTTATAAATGAAAAATCATGATTTAACGGTTATTTTAACAAACCATCATCTTTACATATAATAGACGACCTTTTTTTTATAAAAAGCATCATCTTTATATATAATAGACGACCATTTTTTTAAAAAAAACCGTCCTCTTTACTTCATAATAGACGACGATTTTTTATAAAAGCGTCATCTTTACATACAATAGACGACGATTTTATAAAAAGCGTCATCTTTACATATAATAGACGATTTTTTACCATTACACTCCTCGACCCTATATGAATACAATGACTGAATTTGATCTTCAATTT